GAAAATAAAAAAAAGAAAGAAATTGTGCCTTTTTTCCTGTTCAGATATAATTCAAGGCAGTGAAAGAAACAGCAATAATTTTGAAAGCAGTCGCTTGTGCATCCTGTGATAAAAGTGTTAAGTTTCATTGCCCATATCCTACTTTCAGTCTAGTGGAAATGAAAAGGCACAGTTAGGAGGCATGTGAGCATGCGATGAGAGAAGTCAATGCCAACTGAGAAGACTCTGCCAATCCCTGGTACTGTGGGATTGAAGGGGAGGGAGAGATGACCTCTCTTTCAGACCGTGCTCAACAAGGAGGGAGAGGGAGTTCGTCCATGAGAAGCTGAGGTGGACCAAATACCAGGGGCATCTAACTCAGGGTGCAGGAGCAAATTCTGAGAGAGGAAAATGGTCCAGTTCAGCTGTCACAGGAGACAGGAGAAAGAAAAGTCATGTACTCCACAGTCCCCTGGCTGATTTACTTCCTTATCATACTATTTTGCACCAGCGTGTTCTCAGCTACTGCTGCCTTCTGCCTCTTCCAGAATCATCTTTTCTCTCTTTGGTGCTCAGATCAGTCGATGTGCATTGTATAATGTGATCATTTCCTGTAGCAGGCCCTTTGCTGGTCTTAATAATATCCATCCTTATTTACTGCATTAGGTACTGCTCCCTCCACTATGGCTTACTGCCTTATAAGAGGACTCATTTTGTATATTTCAATTTTACTTTTTATTATTACACATTTGACTTCATCTTTTGCTGATCTATACTTTTAGGGTAACACTGCCATTTTTGAAGGACATTTGTTTATTTTTAGTAATTCAGATTGAATAATCTCTTTATACTTCAATGTCTGTGTTTTCTTCCTATTTTAAACCAAATATTATTTTCTTTCATTCCTCTCATTCTGTTCCTCTTTCTTTAGATGGTAGTTTTAAGGGAGAAAAAGATAGGCTATAACTGGAGCTATGTGATAAAGAGTTATTCAGAATGAAGGTGGTATGTTAAGATTGGTAACTCAATGCAATAATCAGGGTTAGAACTAGTGTTGGGATGAGGGTTTAGGGAAGCTGCTCATAAAACGTGCGGGATGGCACTTCTAGAATATTCTGGCGGCTCACTCTGCAGACACTTCCCAGCATTCCTTGGGCCATTGCAGAAGAAACAGTGATGACATTTCACTTACTGGCCACAAGATGGCACTGTGGTCCACTGGGATCTAAAGGGTTCTGGGGAGTCTGGGAGAGCAGCATAGGAGGGAAAGTGTTAAGATGAATTAGGGCTTGGATCCAATATTATGCAGATGTTGTAGCAGTTTTCAGTTATTGCTAGGCTACCTACAGTTATGCAAGCGGTGGGACGTCCCTCTCATCTTTAATGAGCTCTACAGTTGAAGAATGTTGGCTGGGCAGCCTTGGTGTCCAGGCAGGTGCAGAGGAGCAACTGCCTCAGAGCAAAAGGGAAAAGTGAGGGGTGGGCTGTGCCCTGAGCTCAGTGCATCTCTGCTGCACCTCATCTTCCCTGGAGGTCTCGCCAGGCAACAGCTTTAACCTGCTTGAGTGATCTGGGATTCTACAAGTTTATAAGTCGTACTGATAACATCACCTTGGCTCAGATTCCATTGGACACCAAGCAGGTGTTCTCTGGAGGCCAAAAAAATATTGAGAACAATTTCTACAACACCTAAGTAAACAAACTACTGAAGGAAAATGTTAGTAGATGCACCAAACTGTGCCAATTAGTCCTGAAGATAATCGACTAGTAGAATTATCGCGAAGAGACTATAAATGAGTCTCTACTAAGTATTTGTGGGCATAGAGCAGTGTCTGAGTCCTCTCAGGGTAGATTAAGGAAGAATTCAGCTAATATCATGACTTTGGCTTGAATGAAAATCCCTGAACTCCTCAACTGATTCTCCTGTAAAATATTACAGAATAATATTGAGCAAACATTTTATTTTACTCCAGCCTTTGGCACTTACAGGTAAAGCGGACACCTAGAGGCAAGGTCTCTTTAGTTGGGATCCGTTAACTGCAGGACTGGGTGTTCCATAGCTGGGCTTTACAGGGAGTACAAACCCCACGTGCAGGGAATCCCATGTGTCTGTGTTGTGCCCAACTCCCCTTTGTGAGGCTGCCAAAGGGGGAGTGCCAGGTCTCCTCGGACCCCACTCACAAAGAGGGGAGAAGACTTCTTGCTTGGCAAAAAAATCAATCCACCAACTGGCCATTCTATTGAAAGCCAAAATGAAAGGAAATTCTCAATTGTGAGACTGATGAATGCCCAGTTTCCCAAGTTATGAAATTTGTAGCAGCTCATGGTTCTCAGAATGGTTTCAACAACATATAAAGATATTGTGAAAAGCTTTTGCTTGTCTACAGCTTTACTTGATATTGATCCTCAGTTGTTTTTCAGCCCACGCATCAGTTGAGCTTATTTTGATGCCAAATTTCACTGTTGCCACTTCAGTCACCAAGTGCTTCTCACATTCTCCATAACTTTCACAGATATGTGTGTTCCTGTCTTTTCTTATTTTTGTGTGATTCATTTTTAAATTGGGCTGTACAGAATACAAGCCTACATTTGTAAATGACTCCCATATTTTATGCCATTTAGCTGTTTACTTTTTAGTAATAATTTTATTTAAGGTATAATTAACAGAGAGTAAAACATAAATATTAATACAAGGACATCCTGGTACATTTTGACAAATGCATATGCCAGTGCAATGGTAACTGAAATGATTATAAAAAAAATTTCTGTCATGCAGAAAAGTGTCCTCATGCTCCTTTCTAAACAATTTCTATCCCAGAGATAAAAGGTTTCTTATTTATTTTGAGACAGAGTCTCACTCTGTCATGAAGGCTGAAGTGCAGTGGCTTAATCTCAGCTCACTGCAAGCTCCGCCTCCAGGGTTCACGCCATTCTCCTGCCTCAACTTTCAGAGTAGCTGGGACTACAGGCACCTGCCACCATGCCCGGCTGATTTTTTTGTAGTCTTAGTAGAGACAGGGTCTCAACATGTTAGCCAGGATGGTCTCGATCTCCTGACCTCCTGACCAGCCCACCTCGGCCTCCCAAAGTTCTGGGATTACAGGCATGAGCCACCGCGTCTGCCCAAAGCTTTTCTTATTTTTTATCACAATTGACTAGCTTGGTCTGTTCCTGAACTCCATATAAATGGAATTATATAACATTTTATTGAGTTATTTTTCTCCAAAATTACTATTTCTGAGGTGTATTCATGTTGGTGTATCAGTAGGTCATTCTCTCTTATGACTAATATTCCATTGTATAAATACACCACAGCTTGTTTATCCACGCTCCTGTTGATGGAGATTCATGTTACTCCCGTCTTCAACTATTAGGAATAAAGTTGTTGTGAACATTCTTGTGGAATTCTTTCTTGTGGACAAATGCATTTTGTTTTCTTTGAGGTATAGTCTTAAGAGTAGAAATACTGACTCTCAGTGTAGATGCGTGTGCTATGCTTCCGTGTCCCCAAGAAAGCTCATATTGAAATTTGTCAATGTAATGGTATTGGGAGGTGGAACAGTTATGACTAGATCATGAGGGATCTGCCCTCAGAAAGAGATCAGTGCCCTTATTGTGGGAGTGAATTAGTTGTCTTGGGAATGGTCTTCTGATAAAAAGGATGAATTCAGCCGTTTTCTCTGTCTTGGGTGTTTGCTTCCCCTTCCTTCTGGCTTAGATAATAGCAGGAGGCCCTCATCAGTTATGGCCCTTTGATCTTGGACTTCCCGGTCTCCAGATCGATAAGCCAAATAAATTTCCCAGTCTGTGGTATTTCTCTATAGCAGTAGGAAAGATTGAAAGAAAACATGGTGCTGAGAGTGACGCTGTTGCTATAACAAGTACCTGATTATGTAGAAGCAGCTTTGGTTAATGGCAAATGGGCAATGGATAGAGGTTGGAAGAATGCAGAGAAGCAGGCTAGCAAAAAACTTGATTGCTGAAGCAGAGCATTAAGGATAATTCTGGTGAAGGCTCAGAGGGAAATGAGAAACAAGGTATCAGAAATTGAAGTAAATGTTATCCTTGTTGTAAGTAGCAAAAACCTTGGCAAAATTGTGTCCTGTTCTAGGACTTTATGGAATAAAATAATTATAAGCCATTAGCTAAGATATCTACTGAAAGAAATATCTAAGTGGCTGAGATTTCAGGCTACTGTGTGACTACCTTCAGGCACCAGGAATTTTAACCCAGCTAGAAAGGAGCCAAGGGAATAGATTTTGCAAAGCAGCACAGATGGTGACCCTACCTCCCTCTGCTGTCCTGTCTCCCATAAGCCAAACTCACTCTGGAGTTAGAGAAAAGAGGAGCCAGTTAACACGATACCCTGGGGTCAGCTTCTGAAGGCAGGGTGGATCTGGAGGTAATAACATAAACTGTCCGGAGCACTACATATAGGATGGCATTGAGGGTGCTGAGTCCCAAGCTGCCTAGGTCTGTAGTATGAGCTGATAAAGCCCTAGAATTATTTCTGGGGAACCTGTAGTCTTGATAATATACAGACAACCCAGGTCTGCTTTGAATCTGATCAGGTGGACTAAATCTTGGGGACTCTGCACCACTCGACACTCAAGAAAGAGGCTGAGAATGTTGTCTGGGAGAGGAAAATGTGATAAGAAGCATTGGTGTGAATCTAGCGTCAGAAATATGATGTGAGGACAGCAAGGAAGAGCTGGAATGTGAGGGTTTAATCACAGGCTCCAAACCCTCCACTGATTGGCAGGTGTGTGAGCTCCAGTATGGAGCACCGCAGCACTAGGTGGGAGGAGGGTGAGAGGGTAATGGGGCAGCCTGTGAGTTGGGGGGTTTTGGGCGGGGGGTCACTTTTTTCTCCCCGGGAGGTTTTTGCTTTCCCCCTTCCTTCCGGTTTTGCGGGCCGGTTGGGGTTCCGGGTTCGGTGGGGCCTTGGCCTTAGGGAGGCTTGCTTGGGGGGGCCCCGGGCCGTTGCCTTCCCGGGTTTCCCTTCCCTTCGGGAAATCAAGGCCCAGAACTCACTTGGCTCCTCCCCAGGAGAACCAAGCCCTGCGTCAGGTGCAGTGCTGCCTGCCCCACTGTGCCATGGGCCCCGGGCTCCTCTGTTGGGCGCTGCTTTGTCTCCTGGGAGCAGGTGAGTCCTGTGCACTGGACAGCAGCCCCATTCTCAGCTTTCCCACCCCTGTGTCCTCCACTTTACCTTGGGGAGGGCCTCCAGACTGTCTCCTGTGCTCATCCTCCATCTGCTTTTCCCACAGGCTTAGTGGACGCTGGAGTCACCCAAAGTCCCACACACCTGATCAGAAAGAGAGGACAGCAAGTGACACTGAGATGCTCTCCTATCTCTGGGCACAACACTGTGTCCTGGTACCAACAGGCCCTGGGTCAGGGGCCCCAGTTTATCTTTCAGTATTATGAGAAGGAAGAGAGAGGAAGAGGCAACTTCCCTGATCGATTCTCAGGTCACCAGTTCCCTAACTATAGCTCTGAGCTGAATGTGAACACCTCGGAGATGGGGGACTCAGCCCTGTATCTCTGTGCCAGCAGCTTGGCACAGCCCAGCAGAGTCACTGACATTCTGTATATAAACTTCCTGTCGTAGCTTTGACTTGAGAGCTGCAGGCCCCACCCAGTTTTCACTCCTTCAAGGGAAGCTTTTAGTTGTATGGAAGGCATGTCTACTGTCCTACTGAGTGCAGAGCTCTCCCAACCCACAGAGCCCAGGTTTCCTGTGCCCTCAGTGTGCCCATTTCTCTGCTCCATCTTCTTGCAACTTGTCAGTTCCTAGGAAAACTCAGTACAAGAGTGACTGCTGAGCCCCAGATGTGTGCTTGATTCTTTTTATTTGTTACGTAGCTTAAAGCTTTCCAACAATCTGGCAAGTCAAACGTTCTTATTCTTTCTTTACAGATGGGAGGCTCAGGGACATTGAGTCATTTTCCCCAGTGTCTCCTGGCTTGTAAGGACCAGAAGTAGGAAACAAACTAGTCCATACATTTTCCACCTACTCCCCTGCTCCATCCTCACCTTCTGTGTCCTGGTCAGTAAGTCAGAGTCCTCACACTGTCCTCTAGTGACCAGCAGGGCCGCAGTAGAGGCTCAGACATCCTTAGGGGTCATTACTATGGCCTCCTCATTAGCAACTTTGAGGAATGTTAACTTTCACTTTTTAAAAAATCATTTATACACATTCCCTGTGTCTTTTCCCAGTCTTTAGCTTTCATTTTCATTTTTATGGTGTTTTTTGATGCACAAGAGTTTAATTTAATACAACAAAAACTAACAACAATTTTGTTTGTGTGTAGACAAAAACTGCTTTCTCATATAAATGTCTAAGCATATTTTTTTCAATTTATTCTACTAAAATTTAAGTTTGGATTTTCACCACTAAATATAAATGTACCTGAAATATATCTCATGTAAGAAATAAGATTGAAACCAAGGAACGGGAGGGAAGCATATATGTTCGGTGAAGAAGAAATAGCCTGTCAAAAAGAGCCCTAAAGTGGACACCCGGAGCTGATGGTGGAGGTAGGTAGAGGGCAAATGATCACGAACCTTGTCAGGCTGTTGTCTGTTAGAAGAAAGACAGCCAGGAGCAGAGACCGCATGGGCTAAGGTTTATGGCTGGACTGTAGGTTGAAGGTTGCAGCAGGTCAAGGGAGGAATAGCAGGCAGAGGGCAGAGTCACTGGCTGGCAGGGGCAGTGGCATCACCAGTGACTCTACTGACATCCAGGTATTATGTCCCCA